TTACAGGAGTTACAGATGTTTTGTTTTTTTATCATTCTGTTAAAGCATTGTTGAAAAGCAATGTCTGAATTTGATTTGTTCATTTTCACAGATTTCTATTGGCTATCACTTTTATCAGACTTAAGTTATTTTATGACAATTGATTTTCTGTGTGTTGTTGTAATTTTTTTAATTAGGGAATCCAAAAAATTTTTACCTGTGTGTATTACTCTTCAAAAGTATCCATCAGCTGAATGGAACAATAACTTTTTAATAGCTTGGTAGAAGTTACTAATAGTATTAAAAGTTATGGGACAAAATTAAGGATTTTAACCTGCACCTGTATGACATGTGTGACATGTTATTGAATTATACAGTATATGGGTCTAAACTGCTGTTTGCCTCAAAACCAACATTGCACCTTATGGAGAGAATACTACACAGATGGCAAAACATGGTAATGAGAGCATCATGTTCTGCGGATGCTGCTTTTTTAAATGGGACACATAATTTTTGCCAACATGGATGACATTATAAACAGTTAACATTTCAAAGCAAAATTAGTAAAAGCTTCCTCTGTCTTTTCACAAGATGAACATATTGAATTAAATTAAATAACCTATTCAACAAAAAGTATGGCTTTGGGAAGGAATGCCAATGTCCAAACAAAAGCCTAAGAGTAAACCTGTAGGGGTCACTTGAAGAAGGCTGCAGGCTAGAGGTATTTCAACAAACTGATAGATCTCAAGAAACGTTTGTAGCAGAATGGACAACATTATCTTGCCATGAGAACTTTAGGGACTCCTATCAAAGAAGTCAGTATTGACTTAAATGGTATGTTAACAAAGTACTGATTAAAAGGTCTGTACACTGAATCAAAAGGGTTATTGTAACTTTTTGATTCGTTACTTTATACCTCTTACCAAATTTGGATAATATTCATTTTGTCTTTACAAGAAAAAGGTCATGACACATTATAGGAAAATGTTTCTGCTGCAAAAAAAAAAAAAAAAAATCCTGTTTAAGATTTCAGGTATCGACTAATATGTGACTGAATTGTAATAATCATCAATACCACCACTATGAACAGAACATCTTGATCTCTAAAAGCCAGATTTATCCAATGACAATAGGGGTATAGAGGTGAAAATTATTTATAGGTTTGTTTAAGCACAATCAGCAAAGCTTCTCTGATTTTTTATACCGTCTGATATAGATACGGTGAACACAGTTGCTCTGGACACTAGGTGGAGACAGTAGTTAGTAAATACTAACGGTGGAGAGGCCCATCTTTCTTTTAAACTAGATTTCTGTTGTTTAAATATTGATAGATACATAAAAATAAACAAAACCATTACTCTCTTATTTTCTTAAATTCAATCTTAATATGTATTTCTATGTCTCTATGAGCTGGAATGGAAAGGGCCCCAGATTTGATTTTAGAAATCTGGTCACCTTATGAAAGAGGTCTCATTCAACTAGTTGTAAGTTGACAGATAATTACAAAAGTTATGAAAACATTTTATTAGTGTGAAATGTTACTTCATGTTGGTTTAAAGCAGCACATTTTTTTTTTTATATATGACCTCTCCCTACAGGACCTTTTGGAAAAAGGCACTGCTGTAATCAGACTGCCCTCTTCAAACCATTTATCCTACAGCTATGGCACGACTTTCCAAGCAGCTGGAAGATGGATATCATGATCAAAGTCTGAAGAGGTAGGTAGTATTGTACATTATGTAATGTAAACTAATGAATATCAGGATCTCCATGTTTTAC